ACAATTTGATGTATATGAAGAAAAAAGATAATAGAGAAATGTGATTACGGAAAACGATGTAATTTTCTGACGAAAAACCGCAATCCAAACAAGGTTTAGTTAAACCTTTATTGGCAACGTATATAGTGGTGTAGTCCAGCCCGCTTTGACTTTCAAACGAAAAACAATGGCAGGACAAGATGAAATTTATTTAAAGTTTATTGAAATTAGCTTTTAGAATGTTGGATTGTTAGGAAGGTTTTGATTTAGTGACTAAAATTGAAATATTAAGATTTAAAGACAATGTTTTAAAATTCGGACCGACAAGTGTATCGGATTAATTTTCGGTTTACAGTTCAACTAATTCGATTGGTTCAATGAGTTTTAAAATATTTTAATTATTTTAATATTAAATTATTTGGATAAATTCATATATAAAAAATAAAATAAATATTTAGTGAGAAAACCAGTTCAAAGGTCAATTTTTTTTACCAATTCATCCGTTTTTTATCTGTGTTTGATTATTGAGTTAAATATAGACCTGAATTGAATAGTAACTACTTACGATTCGACCAATCGAACTCGTTAGTCCGATTCTATTTTCAATACACCGCTTAAAGGTTCTAGGTTCCAATTTCCTTTCTCTCTCCCTACTTCTTCTATCTCCCCCTCCCTTGCTAAGGATAAAAAAAATATTTAAAAAAGCTTTTAGAATGTTGGGTTTTAAACATGGCTTTTGTTGTTTAATTTGTTCATACCAAAGTGACGTGCAACCACTAAAACAAGAGTAGTCTTATCGAGTTTATAAGCACGAGGATTGGGGTCTAAGTCCGAATCCTTTTGTATGTTCTCATGAATGATACCATGGTGTTGGTCTTGATCGATAGCCTGTGTCGTACAAATACACTAATATTTTGCCACCATAAACAGGGACTTGATTCTAAAGAAGTGATAAGAAGCCAAAGTGGGGCAAGGCGTGTGAGGTCTATATTTCACCAATCAGAGTCTCTGGATAAGAGAACAATCTAGGAATCGCAATCTTATTGGATCTCATTTTCCTACTTGGCATTGTTTCTAAATTCCAATTCATATCATCGCACCAAGCAAATAACTTGAATAGAAGCCTAAGCCATACTAATTCTCTCTGAATTCTTGAAGATTTGATCTGCGTATATTCACCAACTCCCAGGATTCGAATGGCAGCAACTATGGCAACCCTTAATGCCAACTGCTTGAGCCCCAACACCCACAGAGTTATCAACACTTTGAAACCAAAGCCGGTATCCCTTCTGTCCATGCAAAACCTCCCAAAAGGCCTCCTCACAACATCAAGAAAAGCACCAGACTCAATCTTGTCCAATCCGCTAACCGGAACAGCCCTTGCTGGCGCAATTTTCTCAACCTTGAGCTCATGTGATGCTGCCTTTGCAGCTCAACAAATCGCCGAAATTGCAGAAGGCGATAACCGTGGTCTGGCACTTCTCCTCCCAATTCTGCCAGCCATAGCTTGGGTGCTCTACAACATCCTCCAACCAGCACTCAATCAGTTCAACCAAATGAGGAGTTCAAAAGGGGTCATCATAGGCCTTGGCCTGGGAGGTTTGGCTGCATCAGGGTTCATCCACACACCTCAGGCATCAGCTGCTAGTGAGATTGCAGCCATAGCTGAAGCAACCGGTGACAACAGGGGTCAGCTTTTGCTGTTTGTTATTGCTCCTGCAATTATTTGGGTGCTCTACAACATCTTGCAGCCAGCTTTGAATCAGATCGACAGGATGAGATCTTAGTATTCCCGTTGGGGTGCAGTAATGAATTGTGTTCACATGTAATTGCACCTTTGTATCAATGAAACTTTTCTTGAAACAAATTTTGGGGACTGCCTCTAATTACCATCATTAGGATAAATCCTCTGCAACTGTACATCGGGTTTCAAAACATGGTTCCAGCACATAAATATATAATATGCCAGCGTCCCTGCCTAATAACTCTCAACTGATTAATCGCTTGATTTTCCGAACTGATTTAATTAATTGGCTTGACGTGTACATGTATGATTTTCAAGTGTGAGGCACTGGGTTTTTCTGGGATTCATTAGATTTTCAAACAGAAATGAACTCCACCTCTATAACTTGCAAGTACGACGAGAACACTGAATTCTACCAATCCACCAAAATATATGACTTTCAACTATTCCAAACTTATACGACTCAATGATTGATCACTCAGCTAGACGACCATTTCTTGTTAGTTCACAAGATAACAACATTCACCGATCAAACTAAGTTCGAACGTGTATTAGTGTTAGCTCTGATGTCAAACTCAGCCTGATATTGATTTGGGGAGCAAACAAAATATTTATCACGATCCATTGAACATCAGATATACGAATTTGTTTTAGATGGACATGAATAATGGATTAAACGGACTAGGTTTCAACTCAAATTTTAAGATTAGTTAAGAACTGAACCAACCTTAGTTACCCTCGAAAAAAAAATTAAAATCGAAGCTTAGTTGTGTCCCTGATTGCTGCCATATTAGCGGATTCATGTTTCCAAGAAATGACACCACAGATTTCCCGGTTTCGAAACCACTGAGCTAAGCTCAGTGGCCACCACAGAGGGACTTAAATCCCTCTTTTGGTCTAGTTGGATCTGTATACTCACTAATCCCTAGCACAAGTCTCTTTAGGCTCCCCCTTTCCTTATATTAGGATAGAGTAAGTTATACAATGTATCGTTGCTGAAAAAAAAAAAAAAAATGCAATTGGAAGCCGGAATACGGGAAGATCCTTATCCTTCGGGCTCGCTTCATGTTTAATGGACATGAGATACGGGCTTGAACATTGAGCCATTCAGTTAGTTTAAGGCTTTTAACCCAAGCCCAGTTGATGTAGTTCTTCTAAATGTTGATCCATAAGAATGAAGACTCTAGAAAGCTGAAATTATAAACGGATCGAATTTTCATATTTTGTCAGCGAAAAACTGTAAAAATTGTTTTGTTATAGACTAGGTAGCGTGACTAAATGACAAATAATATTTGTTTAAATTTTAAATTCTTCTTTTGTTTGTAGATTTGATATGCATTTTAGCTTGCTATGCTCCTTTTTTTTGTTTTTTTGTTTTTTGTTTTAAAAGATCAGGGATCTTACGAGTTGAAATCTCTCTAATTTAAATACATTTGTATAATTCTTACGATTTCTGATTTAAACTCAGTGTAAAAAAATAAATAATTTTATCAACTTATTCAACTAAATTAGCGACGATACTAAAATGATATAAATTAATATCAAATATAATAAGAATTATATCAACCTGATTTGCAAATTGCAATGGACAATATTCAACAGGTGAAATCCTTGATCTGTTATTAAAAAAAAAAATTTTTTTTTGTGGTCCTTCGGCACAGGTCGGCTGCCGCTTTGTCCGATTGAGAATGTATTATTAATGGCTGATAATGAGTGTGTTTGGACAGCCAATTATTTGGCCAAATATATTTGCTGACATCACCATTACAATTTTCAATACACCTTTTTATCTTCCCAATTACCTTTTTATCTCACATACATCACATCACAAAAAGTGCTACAGTAAAAATATTTCAAATAACTTACAATCCAAACACACTCATTAATGATACCCTCGCATTTATTCCGCGCTTGCGGCGCGATTACGGCAACTTCTTAGAAGTTACTTGCTAGATTGAGGTTGGTAATAGCGAAACGCTACTTGATGGATGTGGATTTACTAGTACTAAATTATCTTGAACTTTTTTTTTTAAAAGTAAGATTCTTATTACATTAAAAAAAAATAAAATTTTCTAACAATTTTGAGGGGACGAACCTTTTAATTTTATTTACCAGTATAAATTTTGTAAAGAAAAGTGAAATTAAAAAGAAAAACGGAATTGCTATGTTCATCAAGTTGGACTTCTTGGACACTGGTCAAATCCCTTCTAGAAGTGTTTTTTTTCTTTTTTAGGGAAAAAGAAACCACTCGCAAATGTAATAGTTTAGGCCAAATAAACCAGCAGGCAGGAGAACTGGTCTATAAGCCCTTCCGGGTTCGGTTCCGTGGTTGTAATTCCAGTTGGGGGAGAGCCACGTCCAGGGATCGAGTCCCCGAGCCTATCTGGTCGATGATATTGGACAGCCTCTCCCGGTCACGCAATAGGATTAGTTGGATCGTACAATAACCAGTTCACGAACCCAGATATCCACTGTATTCAAAAAAAAAAAAAAAAAAAGGAGAACTGGTCTATAATTTCTTGGACCACACCGTATCAATTAGGCTACCAAACACGAAGCTTGAACTTCACTAATGATATTAGGCAAATTGAGCCCACTAAGCGTATCTTTTTCTTTTGCCCCATCTTTCTTTTATGATTCCACCAAGTCTTTATTCTTTCTTATCCGTCAAATCATTAGAGAGCTGCAATTGCCTCGCCTCATTTATGGAGGTTTCTTGTGATATAGTAGCAATTTATTAGTTTTTTTTTTTTTTGGCTTATGATTATGATTCGAATTTTATGCTCTTCCGTTCAGGCAAATAATGCATTTGGATTTGGTGAATGTTAGAAATTGAAATCCCTTAAACTTGGTAAGGGAATGCATTCATTAAGTTTCCTTAAAAAATAAAAAATAAAAATGTACGCCACGACAGCACTAAATAGTACTCTACTAAGTAGTAAAAAGTGTTCAGAAGAAGAAATAGAACAACGAGGGAGCTTAGCTAAGCTAGCTACTAGTAGTTATAGCTGTCGACATGGACTTGTGGAAAGTGATAGCGGAGGACAGAACATGCCAAGCAGATGTTCTTTTCTGCACTTCTGGCTTCTTCCCTTCGCCAGCTCACTCTTCAATTATTATCCACCTTACTTTAAAATTCTTTTTTTTTTTTCCCTTCTAATTAATACACTCACAATTCCTTCGTGTTCCCGTTATATATATATATATATATATATATATATATATATATATATATATATATATATATATATGTATGTATATGTATGCGCGCACACACACACCAAACAAAAGTGCAAACAGAACACAACAACAAAACCGACCGCCGCTTTGACCTGTGCATGCCCCCGCTCTTGGGCCTCCTCAGCACCTTCTGCTCAACTTTGTTTCATATTTGATCTAATAGCCAATTAGACAGAGGAGCATCACCCTGTCCCTCTCAAACTCTACCTCATCTTCTCTTCTTCCCACCCCCCCACCATATTCAGGACTCCCAATCACCAAATTCCGCTTTAACCCCCACACTTATTTGTTTTCCATAACAGGGATATATAATATTCCTCCATCCTCGTCAATACTCTGGTCTTCACGCAAGGCAAAATCCAATATCGGTCGAGAGAGTACCCTCTCCCGTTGGTCCAAGCAGGCTTGTCCCCCCTACTCCTCTTCTGGTTGTGCCATTATCAATCGCGGGTAACCCCCCGGTCCGGCCGTCCCTGACCTAAGAAAAACGATTATCCTTGTGACCAAACAAGGACCAACTTACTTACCTTCTCGTCCCCCACCCCCACCCCAGCACAAAAACACCACATATATGTAGATATATATATATATATATATAAAACTTCTTGACGCATATTCAGAAATGAAAGAAACCTCAATCATAGCATTTGTCCCCAGATACTTCTTTCTCACTCTCCTCCTTTCCATACCTTTCCTTCTTTTTCTCTCTTACCGTTCTTCCACCACCACCAAACACTCAGAACGATTATCCTCAGAAACGAGCTCGGGCCTAAAAATCCGACCCGGATACAAGACGTACGAGTCCTACATCCAGCGCCAGCTCAACAAGACCCTCAATCCAAAGCTTCGAGAAATATGGAGAACCCGCGACTGGGACAGGAAAATCCAGGTCTTTGCTCGTTTCTTCAGCGAGCTGAAACAGAAGAAGTTGCTTTCTAATGATTCCAAAGCGCTGAGCATCGGGGCCCGGATGGGTCAAGAAGTGGAGGCGTTGAAACGGGTGGGAGTATCCGACTCGATAGGGATGGACCTGGTCCCATCTCCACCGCTAGTTGTGGAGGGCGACTTTCATAACCAGCCGTTTGAGGACGGGACTTTTGACTTTGAGTTCTCCAACGTGTTTGATCACGCGCTTTATCCGGAGAAGTTCGCGGGGGAGATCGAACGGACGCTGAAGTCCGGCGGAGTTTGTGTTCTACACGTGTCGGTAAATAAGCGGGCTGACAAGTACTCGGCTAATGATTTGTACAGCGTGGAGCCGTTGAAGAAACTGTTCAAACGCTCCGATTTGGTTCACGTTCGGACTGTCGACGCATTCGGATTGGACACAGAGGTGGCCTTCAGGAAAAAGAAGGCCATCTAAGAGTCTTGAATTTTCTTAAAGGATTTTTTTTTTCTTTTTCGTTTTATTGTTATTATTATTATTATTTTTTTTTTTTGGCATTGCCATCATAATTTGATACGCAAATATATTTTTTTTTTAAAAGTTGTAATGGACGTCCAAACTCCAAGCAAATTTTACCCATAAACAATAATGGAACCATTTATTTATTGTTTCGAGTTTGTGTTTCAAATGTTATCCTGTGTTTAGTTTGTGCATAAAGAATAAAAAGAAACGGAGTTAAATTATAGCTTTAATTTCAAATGTTTTTTTTTTTTTGATAATAGGACTATTCAGGAATTTTCTTTATTGAGTTTTAATGTGGAAGATAATAAAACTACTTCTGAGTTCAACTGACATTACACCACCATATTTCCGCTAGTTTTTAAGATCTGGGAGCTCATTCATTATTATATCTGGCCATAAACGTAGTGACAAAGAGAATGAATGCAGGCTTGTTTCATAAGTTCTCAGCATCGGGCGGTGGTTTATGGCGTATAAAGCGAACGGATGCATTTGATTTGAGAAGTGCATTAAAGGAGCATTTAGCATTTACTAATACTGAGTGCTAATACGAAATCTATAATGGGATTCAACAACAATAATAATGTATTTCAGCAATTTGCCCGTCATTTTATGCTAGTCAACTCGTTCGAGCGTTGACTTTCTTGAATTTATTATTATTGCCTCCGTCCTATTTTGATAGTCTTGATTTTTTTCTTATAAGATTAATAAAAAATATTAGTTAATTTTTACTTTGATAATTTTGATTTTTTTTCTCGCATAGTTTAAGAAAAATTACTTAACTTGGCTGGAAAAGTAAATTTAGCCTCATATTTTTCTAAAATTCCATTACATGAATATTAAGGGTATTACCGATCATTATTATCCCTTTACACTAATTATAACAACAATGACAATGATGATGGTACATTACACCATGCAACACATATATTAATAATCGACGCCTTATATGTGGATTATTCATTACTACATTATTATCCTTAGCATACCAAGTTACATTTGCTTGGTAATAACGAATAAGAGCTTCACCGAGTACATGAAAATCAGGAGGAGAGAGACGACCGCATCTTCCTCTTTTTCTGGCGGATTATTTGTTAGCATTACTAGCAATTTACAAGTATGGATTATTTGGAGATCATGACGTTGAAAGTGGCAAAGATGAAAATGTGGCAACCTTCTGGACTTGCGCAACAATTTTAAAAGTAAGTTTCTTTTTTTTTTTTTTTGAATGCTTTGGAATTGACAAAAAAAAGGGGGGGTGGTGGCGGGGGAGCGCTTCTATTAATTGGTGAAAGGTGGGCATAACCCATGACCTTGGCATGATTGAATACACAAAAGTAGCAAGCAAGGCAGAGCAAAGTTACTGCTTTGCTTGACTGTCTGGGACAAAATCAACCGGCTGACTTCCAGTATCTCCAGCTTGAGACTGAGAAGCAGCAATCTTAGCTTTCTTGAAGCGGCTAGAACTTCTAAGAACCATGTCCATGCTCATTTGTTGAGGGCCAGAAAACCTGTTTCATAACCAGCAAGTAATTTGATGACAAGCACTAAATATTTGGAAAGAATCAGATGCAACGGTACAGCGCAATGCAAGTTCTGGCAGAATTTCTCAACTAACAACCTGCTGCACTACTTTTCTAAGTATCAATGGCAATGATATCACTGACCCTCGTGGAGCCAGGAACAAATCTCAGTTAATCAGACAACTAGATTGTTATTATACCTTCCTTTTCGGGTGGGAGGTCAAACAGGTGGTTAAGATTCCATGTATAAGCCGTGAAAGAACAAAAATTTTATTGAGTGTGTTAAAAAGAGGCAACAAAGGACAATCAACAATCAAAAAGTGGTGCAAAACAAGCTGCTTTGATAGCAGAAAAATGCAACCTAATGAGCGATGCTTAAGCTCTGTGTTTGACTACATAATAACCACCTCAACTCCCTCTTGACATTTAATTGTGACAAATCTTTGTCAGTTATATTATCAGCCATAAGAAGTAGCTGACACAAGCATGCTGTCCTGAATTCTAACAATCAATTTACGAGAACTCAGTCACCAATTGTGTTAGTGGCAAATTCCTGGCCAGAATCAATAGATATGTTCCAATATTAATTCATAATCCAGCAAGCCACTCATTAGGCAACATTCATGTGAATTAACCCCAACAAAGTGCATGGTTGACTTACTTTGTGTCTAAGATGTTTCCAACAGCACCACCTTCTCCTGTTGCATTAACAGATCCTGTCAGAAAAATAGAATGGAATAATCAACTAGCTGCCCATTCAAAATACATGAGCAGACACATATGTGATAGATTAGAAGGGATCTTTGAAGAATCATGATCTCCAACAAATGCATTAAGACATGACCAAAAAAAGGGCCCTGCAAGGTGGTGGGGAAGAGGAGTGAAGGAAGATCCTTGATTAAGTCCATTGCAAGATAAAATTGCATGTTGTAACTTGCAAATTGCCCACGGTAAACTCATGATAAGAAAGAAGGAAGAAGATAGAAATGATAAGAACATGCTAGAATGTTGGGTTGTGGAGGCTTGTAACTATGTCCATTTCCAAGAAGGCCTCTCGCTGTGTCCATTTCCAAGTAGCAACTGGACTGAAGCAGCAAGTTCTGCACAACCCGGGTAAGGGGACAAACTGAAGGGAAGAAAGATGAACAAGATGGAAATGATAACAGGGAATTCGTATGTTGACTACGTTCTTAACATAGCAACAAACCTTCATTATTTGTACCAATTTTTCATAGAGCATCCATTATGCGATAAATTAGCAAGTGATTTGTCCCATTGAATAAAAACAACAGGAAGATTCAAGAGATTGCATAACTTCAATTACCATTTCTCTTTGAGTCAGGGCGTAGCTCACTTTCCCCAACTGAGTAACCTGACGAAGATGAACTATCAGATGGGGCACGGGTACTCGCATCTGAATTTACAATCTGATTTTCATTACTTGAACTCTCACTGCTGTTTAGTCTAAAAACTAGCCGTGGTGTAAACAATGAACTCTTCTTTTGTCCAGAACTGTTTAGAACATGCCCAGCATTTTTACTAGAACTGTTTCTCTTAGGTATGCTGTTGGGACTAAACCCTGATTGTTGATTCCTTTTGCTTGTTTTTGTACTGGTCCCAGCACCATCCACCACAACTGGTTTTATGGCCTTTTTGAGGGTTTTATCTTCCTTAGCTTCATGAGAACTTGGAACTTTTATTCCATGTTCAGGAGCTTTTAAAGTATTTTTGTTGCCACAAAACAAAGCTTTGTTATTCTCACCACTTGAAGCAGATTCTTCAACTCGATTGTCATCAATATTTCTGCCATCAGATTTATATTGAAGTCCATGATTTTCAGATGACTCCAGTTTGTTTTCAGCAACAACATTATGCTTCTCTTGTTTACTCGTTGGCTTCGTCAATTTTTGTTTCACCTTGGCAGATGAAGAAACTTTATCCTGGTGCTGTCCAGTCACAAAGTAATGCTTGAAGTTGATCCCTTCATCTTTGCACTTGGCAGTTTTAATGTTATCAACCTCACTTTCAGGTCTCCCCTTGGACGGCACTTGAGAGGGATTTGCATCTTCTGCAGCACATTCATGATTTGGAGAAGACTCAGTACCAAGATTCTTTTCCAGTTCCAAAACAGGAGGAGTTGATTGAATTACAGTTCTTTTTTTAGCCAATCGATTTGTCTTTGCTGCACTAGATGGAATGTCCTTCACTTTCGTTTTATTACCAGAAACTGCTAATTCTTCAGCAACATTAGATTGCTCTTTGATTTCTGAAGTAGAGAGATTCTCTGATGCAGAGAACTGATTCTTTTTCTTTTTCTTCTTTGTTTTCCCGTCCAAATTGCAGTCATTCTCTTTAGGTTTGCCTGATTGATTCTGTTGCAAACGTTGAACCTCATTAGTTTGATTTTCCACAGGCAGATCATTGATGCCATTATCAACTGAATTTATACTATTGCTGTGAACTTGCCTCCCATTTTTACCATTGTCCCCTCTGTCATCATGAGATAAATCAACTTCAGTGCGTGCTTCGTAATGAATAACTTTAGCACCTTCGCTATGAGCACCTAAGACACAGGTATCCATTGATTCATCTTTTGATGCATCTTTCCACACATTTTGAGACAGAATACTAAGAGAGTTCTTAGTTTCATCAGCAACATTATTAGCAGGTGAATCAGAGAAAGCTGAACGGCCATTTAATGTGTCAACAAGCTCCTTTCCTGAATCATCTTGATTAATTGTGGCAGACTTTACCGTCCTCTTTTTCTTCCTTCGGTTACCAGATTTCACATCTTGTGCCTTTGACAAGATGGATGCAGTCATAGATTGGTTGATATTAATGTCTGTCTCACCCATATGTTGAGGTTCTGATCCTGAAGGCAATGACATCATGTTTTCCTGTTCCATAGACAACTGTTTGTCTCCCAAAATTGCAGTGTTCCAATCAGATCGCATGCCTGGCATTTGACTTTCACTCTTGTTATCACAATCAGTCATCTGATCACTAAAATTCACGTCTTGTACAGAGAGAGAAATACCACTAACATTATTGAGATCATACCCCACCTCTGATATACCCTGAACTTTTGCAGCAGATTTTTTCGTCTTCCGTTTCTTCTTTTTGCCAGTAGAATTACCAACATCCATTGCCTCATTGAATCTCAATAAATTAGATGAAAGAACAGCTGTTTCAGTAGGCACTTCCGCTTCAGCACAATCTCTAGGTTTAAGGCATTCAGATGTCTTCTCCAGAGGATCCACATTACCTGACAAGCCTCTTTCCTCTTCAACTCTATTAGTTTGATCACTTTCTGCTGTTCGAAGAGTGCACTCATCCTTATCAGTCTTGTCAATAATATGATCCGCAACATCTAAATTTGGCCCATCTGACGGATTGGCACCTGCCATGTTAGTTTGCTCCGCAACAAAATCAGTCTGCATAGCTGCAGCTTTCTTTTTGGCCCTCTTCTTCTTATTTCTCTTAGTGCCATCACAGGTTACTGTTCCCACTGGCTCACTGGTTGCAGTCAGTTTAGGCATAAGAGTCGATGCTTCATTTGTTCTGTCAGCATCACCCTCATCCAAAGCCTTGCAACTTTCAGATGGCATAACTTCACAATCCTGGTTCAGTTTAATATCCTCTTGTCCTTGTCCATCTGTCAGAGGAGCGACAGAATCCCAACTACCAAGATGAATGTTTTCACCATGCACCTGAGAGCTGACCTTGTTCATGTCATTGAGCCCTATAATTGCAGGTGAAGCAGAGTCTTCCATAACAGCAGCCTGAAGCTGCATTGAAGATGTTTTACTATCTGCTCCAAGTTCACCAGTTTGATCAACATTACTGATTTTACCATCCACATTGCCTGCACCAGATTCATGATCAGAAGGTCCGCAACTGAGTCAGTAAAATAAGTAGGCTATTCCTAAATTTTAGAGGACCACTGAGACACCGTACATTTTAAAACAGAAAAAGATCATGTTTATTTCATATTTAGGACTAACCTTCAAGTGAACAGGCGCTCTTGCTTACTTCCAGCACTTTATCTATAATATCAGAACTGCTTCCTTTCTGAGAGAGAATAGAAGGTCTGTGAAAGGTTTCAGGCTGAACTCCCTCTCCAGGAATTATCGTCAAATCACATGACTTATCCACATTCTTGCAGCCAGTTTCCAAATTTCCCTTGACAATTTTCTCTTTCTCAATGTCCTGTATGGGAGTAGACTCAGGAATAGCAGCTTCATCAGAAGGTACTAATGAAGTCCTTTCTCGCCTTTTCTTCCGTTTCTTACTGCCCAGACTGGTGACCGGTTGGTCATCCTTGAGTTGTTCAGATGCAGCATTTGTAACGGATATGCTTTCCTGTTTGTCTGTCGTACAGGATGCCAGCTGGGTAACCTTTTTCCTTTTACTAGAATGTGAACGATCTCTGACATTTTCTTCCATTCCTAAGTTGAGGCTTTTCTCTACAGCAGGCTCAGATTGTGATGTTTTAAGAGCTGCCGCTATGTCACTCCAGTACAAATCTGAAGTCTTACGCCCATCAACATCTTTGTCTCTTATCTCCATCATAATTGGAATGCTTTTGCCAGCATCAACTACAGCAGTTTCTATCTGATGACCGAGGCTACTTGTCTTCAAACGTCTAGAGCCACTTACTTCATTTTCATTGTGTTCGGTTTTTTGCTTTTTAGCAGCAAGCCCAGATTCTGGAGACAACTCATCTGAATTTTCTAACTGAATATGTTTAATATTGTCAGGCTCACTGGATATTTGTTCTCTGTCATGCTCCTTTGGACTAGATGCATCAACGAAAAGATTTTTATGGCGCTTAGACCCTTCATATGCACTAAATACTAGCATAGAATCTGGTAGGTGATAGAAGTGGCCCTGACGTTTTACCTACAGAGAAATAATAGCATTATTGACAAAAAATTCAAAATAAAGTTTGAAGCTTTGCACTGTACGTTTGAGCCAATTTACCTGCAAAGAAAGGACTTTAATCTCCCCAATTCCAGGAAACAACTGGAAATGTTCCTGCACTATCTTCTCTGCAAGCCACAAACACTATGATTAGGAATTCAACCCAAGCAGATCAGGCTCTTAACTTATCAAGCTTAACAACAGGTAATCCTAATAGACAAATAATACGAGAAAAGGAACAAATAACAAATTCAAATATTCAAGCGTCACATATTAACAGAATGAAAGAACTTCGCAATTGCATAGCAATGCATCCCTTAAACTGATCCCGCTCGAAGTTGCCATCAGCAGCCCACGTGAAACTCACTGCCACTTCATAATCCAAGTTATTTTACTTTTTCAATGAAGAAATTACAGATTATATCCAATTTATTTACATGTTAGAAGTTAACATGGCACCTAGACAAGCTGATCTGGAAACGGACAACAATGGCTCATATTTGCAATTGTGCCTTGAAAAATTTCAGCTTCAAAGACCATACTGAATGAGAACACCAGAAAAACCCAGTTCCATAATTCCGTCTATTAGCTGAAAACCCTATCAATATTGGATTTTTACCACGAATATATTTTGTCCGCAGAAATTTGCCATGACCCAAAAATCCATTCTTTTTTACTTTCCCCTTAACATAAAAACAAAAAAGTATCCATCATTTTCAAATTCGAGTTAATATTTACTCATCAAAGTATCGATAACCTGTTTAAATATAATGTCGAATTATAAAAAAGAAAAGAAAAGAAGTTACTTTTGAGATCGGAGACGGTATCGGAGGAAGAGATCATCATAGCAAGGTGGGTGTCGAGGCTGGTGTCTACAAATGCCGTATAGAAATCTTCTGCCGTTAATGTAAAATCCTCGGATACCTTCTCACGACGCCGTTTCGCCATTGATCATTAGAGGCTATGCTCCTGAAGGGGAGGTTGAGACTTCAGACTATGGCAACTCGGGTGTGGAAGTGACGCGGCTTTTGAGTTTTGAGGTTTTGCAGTGGTTTTAGCCTTTCAAAGACAAGTTGCCTAACTACGCTGCTATATCAGCAATTCCTTTTTCTTTTTTCTTTTTTTTTTCCAATACCTTTTCCAATTTTTAACTGTACTCACAAACTATGGGAAAATAGCCAATTTCATCCCTAAACTTTTCACTAGTGTTGATTTAGTCCCTAACTTTTATTCCTAACCAATTTGATACGTGAACTTATTTTGCAGTTCCAATTAAGGACTTTCGTGGCGGCTCCACCACCTAAAACTAATCTGGCTCTCAATTGACAAGCTAAACAAAGGTATTTTAGGAACATCACTTATGGGGCTATACTAAATCAAGTAAATTGTATAAAAAATCACAATATTAAACTTTAAAAAAATTTTACCTGGTGATTTTTTACACGATTTAAAAGTATTATTTGGTGATTTTTTATAAGATTTACTTATTTTATTATAGTCTCGTGATAATACCCCTGTTTAATTAGTCAATTAGGAGTCAGATCAGTTTAGATAGTGGTACCACCATGAAGGTCCTTAATTAGAACTGCGAAATAAGTTCAAGTATCAAATTAGTCAGAAATAAAAGTTAGGGACTAAATCGACACTAATAAAAAAATTAGGGACGACATTGGCCAAAATTTCGAGATATATATATATATATATCTATCGAAGTGGTACCAAAATTTCAAGATATATATATTCATTGAAATTTTGGGTTCTAGGATTCAGGCTTTCGGGTTTATAATGTAGTAGCGTTTTGGATATGGGTTTTGGGTTACACTGTAGGTTTAGGTTGCTGGGGACAAAAGTATTCACATGTCTTCAGGTTTTGTTCACTAGAAATATGGGAAGAAAAAAAGGGTGCATACTAGTCTGCTGCTTGATTCCGTAGGATTGAGGGATGTTGCAAAAAATTCGATTTGTCTCAATTGAAATTTCATAATTTATTCAAGAAATTAAGTAAAGCAGGCCTATCTCATTTGCATTGTTGTAATTCCAAAGAAAGCTATAACAAATTATTGCAGTTTTGAGTTGGTAAAGCTGTACAATGATGGATTTATTTCATTGTCTTACAAAAAGTTTTGAACTGTTGAATACAAATATATATATGCATTTCGACTCATGGAAATTCACACAGAAAATAAGAAACAATAATGTAGTAGGGGAATTCATCATGGAGAAAAGAGCTACGGTACAATTTCAAGCTTAAACTATATGACCAAAAGAGCTGCATGATTAATTCTACTATTGATTCTTCCTAGAGTCTTTAAGTTGTCCCCTCTTTCTAACACCAAGGCAAAACTTGAAACGATATGCATCTACAGCAAATTCTGGCAACAAGTATATGAGATTCCAGACTAGCGAATGTGGCCAGTAAGGTGTACAGCGGGGTTCATAGCCGATGCAGAGCAGAGCTGCTCGTGCATAACCATTTGAGGACGGAACAAAGAAGGAAGATCTTTTAATCGACGCCATCTTCGTTGCAACATACAGTGGAACCTGCAAATTAACAATCAAGCTGGTGATTTCAACAAACACACCCTGCCTCATGGCGATCGCAAGATGTAGTACCTGGCATTGGACGTCAATTCCTTTACTCTTGTATTCCACGTGAAGACACTTGGAAAATTGGTCAATGTATCTGAAGAAGGATCAAACCAGTTATCGCCCCGCCCAACAAGCAAATCTCCAAAATCAGTAAAAATAGATGAGAAGTGCCCCATTTAGTGTACTTACGCCTTGGAAGCAGCGTAAACAGCATAGAGAGGATCTGATGGAATAACAGTTGCAGCACCAGAGCCAATGTTGATAATTGCACCTCTTTTTCTCCCGATCATCCCAGGTAAAACAACTTGAGTGACTTTTGTAGTGCCTTCCACATTGACCTTAATCAAATTCTTCAGCAATTCATCGTCCACCTCATGGAAATATCTTGCATAAGGATATGAAACTCCCACGTTATTTATCAGGATTCCAACATCCAATGCTTCAATTGCCTCTCCAATCTTCTTGACACCCTCACTCAGATCACCGCTGAAATCAACCACCACAGTCTTGGTCTCGATTTTAGCATATTTTGATCGTATCTCTCTGGAAATGTCATCTAACTTGTCGACGTTTCGACCGACTAGTACTAAATTTAGGCCTTCTCGAGCCAATTCGAAGGCAAAGGCCTTACCTATGCCGTCAGTTGGTCCAGTCACCAGTGCCCAAGCTCCATATTTCTTGAGATTCTTGCGGGGTCTGAGGAAACTAACGTAAACCCATCTGAGAAGAGCGATGCAGGTCTTAAAGAAGGATAGAAATCCTAAAAGAAAGAGCCCAACAGCCCAAAACGGCTGGTTCTTGAGAGCGTCCAAGAAACAGAGGATCATTTCTCAGACAGTAGCAATTTCTTTGAATTTAGAAGAAAGAATTGTATCTGAGAGTTGGGTATTGTATGAAGATGAAGATTGAAGAGGTATATAATGTATAAGGCGAATCCTAAAGAATCCGGAAGGTTGTCTGTGATTAGATTGGTATGGTTGGTTGAGGTTGTTGGACGCGAAGTGTCCGAGTAATCGAGGCAAACGAGAAGCCTCTTCAAGAAGACTCTGCAATTTTTGTTCGTATTAGTGTTGGGAACAGTGCGTTGCCGTAACTGGAGAGAAAAAATTTCGGGAATTCGGATATAATGGAAGATAAATTGGATATTGGATTTTAGTTGGAAAATCGATAAAATAGTTTAATTTTCTCTAATAAAATAATTCGACAATTCAGTTGAATACTGTACAAGGCTATTAGCTACTAGTAGTGACTAATTAATGTATTTCTAATATTCATTTTCAAACTGTTTTATTAAATATTATAGCAGGATATATTTCTATTTTATCGAATTTTGATTTTATTCCAAATTGGATGGATTGAGATTTTGGTTTGGTTGAAGTTTGAACACCCATAAATAGGCTGGATGGAGGGAACCAAGTACGCGCCACGTGTGTGGGACCAAAATAGTTGGGTGAAACAGACAAACAGACGGGGAAACAGTTGAGCAGGAATCGGTTGCATTTGGCGAACTACACGATGGCTGGATTAATACAGAAAGCGTTTGTTTTGTGTTTGGATTGCATTTTCTAAGATTTTTTTTGTAAAAAAAATACCGTAACGATTTAATTTATGTGAAAATAAAGATAATAAAAAAATATGATCACAAAAAATAATACAATTTTACTGCAAAAAATGACTGTCAAAATAAGGTTGCAAACCGAATTGAACCGTTAGTGGCCACGCCTCTTAACGGCCCCCAGCATCTTAAAAGGTGACTTCATCAGTTCATTGATCGATCACCTCACAATTCTTGAAACTATGCACCGTTGGAATTATGCACCGTTGGTAGATCACCGCACAATTCATGGGATGCAAGGCTACAAACGAAGTGAACCGTTTGATACGAGCTCAAGTTGAACTCGATCAATATCGAGTTCGAGTTATTCAAGTCGAATTCGAGTTCAAAAATATTAAATTCATTAGTCCGCAAGCTCGATTATATATATATATATATTTTTTTTATTTTAATGATAAAATTACATACATATCTCTAATATTTTATTATTTCTTAAGAAAAATTATTTTTTATTCATTTTTAAAAATAAAATAATTATTATTTTGTTTTTTAAACTCGAACTCGAGCTCGATCGAGTTTCGTAAAATTAACTTGAGACTCAACTCGATTAAACAAAAATTCGACTCGACTCGACTCGACTCGATTGCACCTCTAGTATAGGACGGTGTAGATTATATATTCTCTAATTCGGTTTCCACCTCTAATAACTATTAAGTTGTAACATCTGATAAGAAAATCAACGGGATTGTCCAGTAAAGAATAAATATGGTAGCTGAAAATGGTAATCGAGTTATAGGCGCAAGCTTCTAGAAATCAATATATATATATATATATATATTTTTTTTTTTTGAGTTTGTCATCCCAAAATTTTTTTTTTCTTTTGTCAAAAGTTTGTCATCCCAATTGGAAAACAGCATTGGGGGCCTCAATGCTTTACCAGCAGTGAATTTGATCGTTCTTCCCGTTAGTTTTAGACTCTCAAATGTAGCCAAAAGAAATCATGCATTGATCCTTACTTAGAGCATAAAGCATGATGCATCAAAGCATAGAACAGAACAGCCGATGGTGACAGTGGTAGCCCTAACAGGTACACCATCACTCCTCTCAATGGCATCCCGCGAGGAGAAACCAATCCAGCCATGCATCTGTTCCTTGTATCCTAAAGCTACTGGGCAATGTATTACAGTTCGTCACATTTCTCAAGCAACAAAAATATAAGACAGGAAGACTTCATAATCACCACAGAAAAGGGGGGACAAATTTGACAAGAAAGTTCCACCATATAAAGTTAATTCAAATTGATGCACAGGGAGCGAGTACTTGGCTCTTCTGGATAGATGACCGAATGAAAATATACTGAGTCAGTATTAAGCAACCTTCACGTTCAGAGGCTAACAGGTTAAAATCATGTAGATAATGAATCGTAGAAATTAATATTGAACTGCTACAGACCCTGATTAATTTCCCTTCTACGAGTTCCAATGGATAAACGCCATCGATCAAGAACAGCTTCAGGCAAAAAGGAGGCAAGACTCCATTGAAGGGAGTGTGTCCACCAAGGTGTGCACCTGGCTTCGTACCCTATTCGACCAACTGCAGCTGAAACGTAATCCTCAGCTGTGGGTACAAAAAACGATGATTTCTCGATCTCTGCAACTCTCGATGCCATTTTCGTCCAAACATACAATGGTACCTGGCGAGGTTAAAACTTTTTTCACTGTCATTAATTACGAGCAGAAACTGATACTCCTAGATAATACATTTAGTAATTGTCTGATAATTAGCAACATTTTTTTTCGTCTACATAGTTTATACCTGGCATTGCACATCAACGCCCCAGCCTTTGTATTCGACATGTAAACTTCTTGAAAACTGATCAATATACCTGCAATGGTCAAATCACTCACGGACACAGTAAGCAAATCCAATTAAGTTTGATAATGACATGCAACTTTTTACTTCCTTTTCTATCTCCGTTTCCCCTCTAGAAAATAGTAACAACCTGAAGAAAACAGCCTATATTAATTTATGATAATAATTTGTGGTCAAAAGCTAAATATTTTAGGTATCAGACTGACTAAATAGATTTTGAAACACCACTTCAGAGAAAAGCAAAATGTAAGCCATATAATTAATAGTCAGGCGTTATTATGTCCCATGAAACGCCACTTTAGTTTTTAGCTAGTTTAAGTCCCAAGATTAATAGTCAGGCGTTATTATCATGAAATTGATGTTCCAAGCATCCAATATTCATTCTCGTCTCATTTAATTTGCCTCACATGGTTGTCCGCCATCCTAGCACCTACGATCAATGACCTCCTTGAAGGTGAAAGGTGGGAGAGCAACTAACTCTCTAAAATTTGCATTTGAGACCCAAAAATAAAAAATACTCTCTCCGTCCCACTTTGATAGTTTTATTTTTTTTTCACACAGTTTAAGAAAAAGTAGTTAATTTTGTTGGAACAATACCTTCACATTAATTAGAGTACAACCTTATGAAAACTTGAATTGATGGTAAAAAAAGAATCAACTCTCATTAAATGGGGTAGATTTATAGTAACAACAACTTACATTGAATAAGGGTATTTTAGAAAAATTAAAATGCAACTACATTCTTTCAATTGGAAAGTGGACTACAATTTGGTACAGACGAAAGAGGAAAACAAGACTATCAAAGTGGAACGGAGGGAGTAAAAAAGAAAGAAAGAAAGAAAGAAAGAAAAAATGTTGGGGGCAATGCCAAACATGAAGCGGTTAGCATGTATTAGGCTCTGTTTTCAAACTCGGACCGGACCGGCCGGTCGAACCGGTCGAACCGGGAACCGGCCAGGTAGCCGGTCCGAGTCAACTTAGAAAACCGGAAATTTTAAAACTCGGTCAAAGCCGGTCAAAATCCGGGTTTGACCGGGTTTGACCGGGAAAAACCCGGTTTTTCCGGTTCAACAGTAATTTTTTAAAAAAAAAATTCAAACTTTATAATATTATGTTTTGGCCCCCTAAATTGTTAAAACTTATTCGTATACCTCAAATATTTGATACTTTATAAATATTGTCCTACAATTTGATGTTATTTTTCAATTAAATTCATAATTTTAATTCTAAACTTGTTAATATTTATTAAATAATATAAATTGCTACTTGATTGTTCTAATTTCTTTGTATTTTCTTGTTAAATCTTTTTGAAACATCAAATATGTATGAATATACCTTTATTAATATCAATATATTATTAGATATGATATATATAATATTTTAATTTTTAAATAATTTTTATTTATGACGTCATCCGGTTCGACCCCTATCGACCCCCGGTCGAACCCATTGACCCCTGACCCCTGACCTTGGCCGAGTCGCTATCCGGTCCGGTTCTGAAAACATAGGTATTAGGAATCACATCTCATAAAAAAAGGTGACTTTCTTGTAGATACTGGATTTTTATGTATCACCTAGATTACTTGCCTTACAAATTTACATTTTAGAGTATGACCTGTCTGTTTTTAGGAATTTTTGTAGAAAAATGTATTGTAGCGATTTAATGTATATGAGATAAAAGGGTGATGGTTGCAGAAAACATAAAAATTTTTGTGCCAAGAACTGGAATCCAATTAGGCAGTTGAGACTCTTTAGTCGTTCCATATTCTCGTACATTATTTGATTCTTTAAAGGAGCCAACCAACTTCCGGGGAGCTATCTTATGGAACTGTAAGTCACATCTGATCCTTTAAGATACACTGTCGAGTCATAATCAATGGAGCTATCTTATGGACCTGGACCAGCCAGGTACGTAGGTGGTGTCTAAAATAGCGGAAGTTTGGTACTAAAATAGCAGAAGTTTGGTACTCGAGGGCAACAGGTAGCTAAGACTCTGGTCGTTCCATATCCCTGAACAGAAGTTGCAAAACTTTGAAAGCAGCCAACCAACTTGACCTTCATAAGTGTACAGTTTAATTTCAACTTGCCAATATTCCCAAGTAAAACAAAAAGTAATGAATGCTTTTCAGGTTTTAAGTGACTAGCATGCAGTTCCAATTTCACGGGAAAAACACAAATTAAAATTAGTATTTGAGAAAAGCACAACCTAACATCACTCTAGAGAACCCTTAAGGCTCCTGACACATCCTCCATATCTTTTATTTATTTTTAATATAACGACAGCAGCACCGCCATTGAAGTTTAAACTTGACGACCTACTATGTACCTCTTTATTTATTTGTTTTAAAGAAAGACTCCAAATCCCACCAAGAAAAATAAGAAATTTCATGATAACAGCCAAAGCTTGAACGCATTCATTGAAATTACGATAATGGCCAAAATGGGTACACGGGTTCATGGCTCATGAATTTTTATGCATTGCTGATGAATACGATATTACATCTCAAATAATCTAATTATTACTTTTTCGTTTCTGTTTCATGATATGACTGTGATAGGAGGAGGGAGGAGGCTGAGTTGGGGCAATACTTGGGCATGTTGTAAGTTGCTAACCCATATCATACAGTCAGAATTTAAGTCAAGAATCAATAACCGGATTATATATATATCCCATGCAAGAAAACAAGAAAATTGCATGTTATGCGATGACTTAATTTTCATCTGTATATTCTAGAATGGATACATACGTGGAGAGGTTCTAATCAAGAATTTTCTGGGGAGGATAATTGTGTGTGTGCGTGTTTTTGGGGAGGAGAATGTTTGGGGGGAGGAAAGGGAATGGGATATGGAAGAGCCAATCAATTAATTTAAGTAGCTTACGCTTTTGTAGCAGCATAGATGGCATAGAGCGGATGAGAAGGTACGATAATGGCAGCACCAGAACCTAAATTCACAATTGCACCTCTCTTCTTTTTCAGCATTCCAGGCAGAACTGCTTTCGTGACCAAAGTGGTACCCTTTAAGTTCACCCTCACAACATTCATCCACACTTCCTCGTCTACCTCATGGAAGAATCTTGCTCCGGGATACGTGACTCCAACGTTGTTGATCAACACACCAATATCTAACCCCTCGATGGCCTTCTCTACTTCTTGCAGTACCGAAGAACTTGCATCATCACGGGAGAAGTCTAGGGCGATGGTTTTTATTCTCGTAGTAGGAAATCCAGCTTGAATCTCTGTCGAGACTTGTTTGAGTTTTTCCAAGTTTCTGCTCACAAGAACCAAGTTGAGACCTTTCTTGGCCAGATCAAAAGCGAAGGCCTTGCCTATACCATCTGTTGATCCTGTAATGAGCGCCCATGAACCGTAGAAAGTCAGCTTCTTTGGAGGCCTGAAAAATGTAGTTAAACCCCATTTGATGACAAGCATGCAATTCCTTGAGAGGGAGAGGAAACCAACAGAGAAGAGACATAGTATCCAGAAGGGTTGTGTTTTAAGGTGATCAATGCAAGCTGAAAGCATCTTGATTAGAATGCAAGTTGAAAGCATCTTGATTAAAATGACTGTGGACGCGCGATTTAAAAAACAATGAGAATGTAAATACCATTTCTAGAATTTTATCTGGATTGTTTCCATTTAAAGTTAGGCCATGTCCATCAATCATTCACATGCATTGTTACTATTGAGAAAAGTATGCACTTGCACGTCTTTTTCGTAACTGGAATGGTCGGTCTTGATTACCTTAGGACAAAAAATGCACCGCGTAAAAGTTTAGCAGGGTACAAATCGGAGATTGATAAAAGTTCTCCATAGGTTAAAGGGTCACTCGTCGCTTGTGATGTTCCTACTTTTCTGCTTTCTGGTGAGGCCATTCACTGCAACCCCGGCCCCATCGTCATCTCGTTTCACCATCCAAACCAAATGGTTTCAAAACTCTCCTCCACCACCGCACTTTGCAGTTACTTCCATTAATGGTCAACAAAATGCGACAGATCGCAGGTGTCGACCAACCAACGTATTTTACAGTGGCATGTTGAAGCTCATCATGCTGCTACCATTCCTCGTCAACGCATGAAGACCATAATTTATTAGCTAGAAGACGAGTTCTAGCTACAAAGTGAAAGAAACCAGCCCACAACCACCTTTTGACCGAACATTCCGTTTAACACCTTGTTTCCAGAGTCTTCCCTAGAATTTCCCGAACACTCAATTTCATAACTGTGGTCCTACAAGATTGCAGCAACTTTAAGACACTAGTTAATGGCCAACCTAACGAGTTCTGTACACAAGATACAGAAAAGCAGCCAAACAATGCTAAGTAAGTAGGTGATTCGAGTCTGACGTCTCATAGTCTCATCATTCATCATCACTCATCAAGAACAGAAAGTCACAACTTAAAAAAGAGAGTAACGATAAGAACCATTCGAGAATGATATATACACAGTTGCATCATCGAGCTAATTTGCTCTGTAGGCCCACAAAGTCAGTACACTATTATTATAGACTAGCGTTGCTAACATGCTGGTGATTCATCGTCTCATAAATGACACCAGTGACAGCTCAAATCCGTTGCCGACCTACCCCTAGCTTCAGCTGATCATCTTAGCTCAATCTCCCATTACCACAGAACAATGCCCCCTGATGCTAAAACAGGAGAAGCTCCACATGGAAGGATGCAGAAATTTCAGCTGCAGCTACACAAAGTTGCTGTACGTGTAGAGGTCTAATAACATTTAAACGGGATTTCCTTGATCTTAAGTTTGGTCTGAGAGCAAGACCTATCTCAAAATGAGGATTGTGTTGGAACACACAATAGGTATTATAACCCTACAGTATCGATCACATCTGAGGTTTCAATCAGCCTCATCTTTTCTCTTCTCCTGAGGGGGCGTTTCCAGAGCAAGCCAACCGGGGGCAGGTGCAGCTTGAGGAACTAACCAAAGCAGTCCCTTTGAAGATTTATACCATTATTATAAGACCATTTTGAGCCTCTAAATAATCATTTCATGTCGAGGTTGTGATTTCGACACTCAGAGCTACTCGGACTATGTTCCTCATGAAACGGGTCATCAGCACAATGGACAGAGCTTAACCTGGGAGAGAAATTCCAACCATTGACTTGTTCTGATTCACGACTGACTGTCCTCATAGCCACCTGTTCTCTCAGCTTTAAGAAGGATGTAGATGACCAGTAATCCTTTGCCAAGTTCTTCAATTTGAAATACAGAATATTAGTCAAACAAAGTGGCAAAATCACAAACAGAATGCATTTGTTTATTGCGTTAACCAATAGCATAATCAGCTAGCCTAGTATCCAGGCAGGAAAGGAATCAATTTAAAACTCTAGGTTAAACACCAACCATTTTCATTAAAAGCATCAGCTCATTTACTGCATTTTGAAAAAGAGTGGGTTGTGCTAAATCAAGCGTAGCCAAAATTTCTTGTCTGCTTCTGTGAGATATATTCACCTCCATTGTTGCACCTGCAGCAAACATGTTCATTCAGGATAAATATTCAATAAGCACCACAAGTACCATACATTTGTAGCACAATGTAGAAAAAAACCGCTTGTTAATCTACACACAATCATAAAGATAATTGGTTGCAGCATCTGATTCATTGGCATAGGCTTTCAAACTTCATACTTTTCAACTTTTACAAACAATCATTCTAGTATGATGTCATATGCTATTTGCAGAGATTTGTCCTAGACAAAATTCTTATAAAAAGGGGGAATCGTGCGGGTCAACTCATTAGGATGTCATACCTGAAACTATGTATGTCTCAATAATGTGTCGAGCCATGTAAATTCTTCTTGTGGGATCATTCAAAGGAATTTTGTCAAGCTGTTGCACTTCATCATAAAAATGGACGCTCTCCCCAGCTAAGCAACTACATAAGAACAGAAGCAAATATAATGCACATATTGTGGAGCAGGTGCATGCCAAAAATATTTCTAATGCATAGCAGATACCTGTCTGCAAATTCCATGAATGATTGGCGGAATCTTCTGTTAAGAAGAAGCTTATCCAGAGGCTCATTAGGAGATATCGGGTGTGTTTGCTCTCCTTGTAATAGAAGCCCACTATCTAGTACGCCCAATGCACTACTCATTGTATCACATTTTTGGGGGTCTTTCTTCCTCAAGCTTATGAGTGAGACTAGTGGTTGAGAGATTGAAAGAGAAAAGAATGCCAGAACAAGGATGCTTGTCTGAGTACATGAAAAAACAAGAGAATTGCAAGTCAATACAGACAAAAATATCAATATGAGAAAGCAATTCCAATCCAAGAAGTTGCATTGATGCGGGTCTCTGGTAAATGAAAGATTGGACAGGTCGATTTCATAAAATAAATAAGATTGATTAACCTTACCGCAAATAATAACATAAATCTTGAGACAACTTGAAGCCATGCAATATCTTCATGGATCTCATTCAAAACATAAGACACCACCCATATTCCTTTAAAAAAAGAAACCCCATATGTTACTACTTGTATGACTTGGAAAAGATAAAGAATACTATCAAGCATCTAAAGCATGCATCAAAATGCTTTAAGAAATATCAGCACAAATTCTTTACTAATGCACATAAAAGCAGGTAAAGAACTGCTTTTTTCAGTATAATAGCAGACTCTAGCTTCAAGAATGAACTGGTTTCCTATCAAGATATTTGAGCTAATTTTATTGTTTTCTGCAAACAGCAATTTCTTCCTCTTTAATATTTTTTTTTTCTCTTCCTAGTGTCTTTTCCCTGGAAAAAGGGAAGGTACAATCTTTTTGCTTCTTCTGATTTTGGTTCTGTGGAATATTCCAAGTTCCACATTGAGAATAAGAATAGTAATCCAAAAAATATGAACAATCACGATTGGTTATGTTGCCAACACTCAGAAAATGCACCATTTACATTTCCATATAGCAATTCTTGATGCATTGGGTCCACAAAAATGTCATCCAGTGCAAACTAAATCAAGTGAATAATATGAAAAATATGAAGAAGGAAAGCAAAAGCAGATAAAAGTGTACCGATGCAAGAAGTGGCTACAAGTATTCCCCGCCAGAGGTCTTTGACTTCACTGAATCTAAACTCTATATGATGAAGAGCTCTTGTAAAACCCACCAAAGCAACAACATATGATGCATGAAGGCAAATAACTGGGATGATCCACTGGCTTCCCATGTGGCAATGGTAATTCAGAGGCTTTTTCATGTGAATAACTGGACAACGAAAGTTTTTACATTAACAACACACGAGGTCACAAATGCAGGTGAACATGTTACTTAAGCAACAATATGCGAATAAAAGGTCAAATGCTGAACACTACTGACTACTGATGTTTGATGAAGAGCCTACCAACACACCTTTTAAGTGTGAACTGGCATACTCAGGCAGGTTCAATAAATAAGTTCATCAAATCAAGATCATTGCATGATATCATTAATCATATCTGGTGTTTAGCAGTACGTCATTGGAGCTTATGAGATTGAAAGAGGATTCCCAAAATGCTACTCTGGTCCTATTTGAAGACATAGTTGTTTTTCCCATCTCTGCCTGATGGTACGTCAAAAGGAAATTAACAGTCACCTAGGGAAGGGACAATTTTTTGAACTTCTAGTTTCAATGCAATGCTTTAACACTCACTCTGTTCACTCAATAATAAACTCACAAGTAGAGTTTTTGATGTCTCTATGATCATATTGTAGAAACTGTATAAACTAGTTTGACTAAAATGTATACCTTTTTTTTTTTTTTAAACTAAGACGTCTACTTGAGTTATGCATTCACTATTTAGAATTGTTAAAGTAACAGATAAAAATTTTTTTGGGGTAATGCTGTATGGATATCATTAATAAAAAGGCAGACTCCCCCCCCCCCCCCCCCAAAACAAAAAAAGACAAAAAAAAAAAAGAGGAAAAAGATGCCTAATGCCATCTAGAAATTCAAATCAAAGTTCAAAAGCAAAGGAAAGCACTTAAATTAGCCAATTGTACCTCCAGAACCAATAGTCCATGGCAACAGAATTAACGGAAGAAAAATATGTGACCTAATTGGTGGCATTCGTCTCCTGGAACATAAAATTGGAAACAGGTAAACAACATTTTTCTTCAAAAGGATGGAATCATATAAGTCTCATATAAGTGCAGTGTAAAACTGAATGATATGCTATCCTGATATGCCGAAAATAAGTCAAGATTAAAACAATGTTTCTTTTACAGCTTCTAAAATTCAATTGCTGAACCATTGGAATGACAAAATTTAACAATGCATTTTCACATTTTGGCAGGGTGATTCTTCCCATGGTTAGATCTGCTGCGATGCATGATTTTCCATGTGTCCACATGGCATGTTTTCTACATGAGTTTCACTTTCTGTTTCTTCATAGCCACAGTTTTGTTCTCCTAGATCTCTATTCCAGGATTTTCTAGATAAAGTGAACCATAGTGTAGAAGAAGTTATTGCGAACCACATTTCATCATTTCAACAAGTGAGTGAAATGCGTAAAGCCTAACTGTATGGGAAGTAGCCAATAAGAACCAGACTCACTTTACAAATATGTAGTATAACTGAAATGCCTGTACAATGCGACAGCTCAAGAGTAGACCAAATCCCAGAGGCCCTTCAATCCACACTGAAAGAACACCAAACTATCAATCCTCTCAACAGATAAAAAGTTGAAAGAGAACCCAGAGCTAAGAGTCAAAATATCAAATGTCAATTGATGGAAAAAAGTACCTGCCCAAATGTAGCAAGATCTCCACCAATGTCTTTTAAACTTTACAAAATTAAAGGACATCTACAAATTGAGAGGACAAAATCAAGTAAGCAAACATCACAAAGAAACATTCAACCAAAAAACTAATAAATAAATAAATAAATAAACAAAGAAAAGATCTTCAAATGACACAAACAAACAAAATAGACACATTACACTCCATGGAGACGGTCATTTCTTACCACAATTGACAACAGAAGGTTGAAGCTGGCCATAACTTGAATTGCTACAAGCCAAAAGCTGCTGCCGTTGGGTCTTGGAGCTTTGTGAATTATATAGGGCAACGTCCACTTTACAACAAGCCTGTAATGACAAGGCAATATGGCATGTAAGTGCAAAGAGATGATGATTAACAAATAACAAGCACGCAAGAACATCAATCACAAATCAAACCTAAAGGTGCAGGATCCAACAGCAAAGTCGTTCTTACCCCATTTCATACTTTAAACTTGGGTAATGTTTACAAGATATGATGCCAGTATAGCAGAAAGAGGATAGAAAGGGGTTGAAAAAAAACAAGGGATGTTCTTCCACCTATATGCGTAAGACAAGTCATTTTTGCGCAGACTTGAAAGTACATCTCCATCTTAACAAACACTGACAAGCCTTCTAGAAAAGTTGGGAAAATAGCAAAGACCTTAAAAGGATGCACCTTGAACAAAAGACTAGCATTCAAGATAGAGCTAATTTTTCCAGACTAGACAGTTTAGATTAACAAAAGGACACAGAAAAGAAATAGTTTGTTGTTTTTCACTTCCTTCGCCGGTGACTATACTTTGTTAACCCAATGGTACAGAGTTGAAGAGCATTCAACAATCAACCAAAAGCCCCTTGCCTTCTGCAACAATTTTAGTTCGACAAGTTTACCCGTTTCCTGTGTTCCCTTAACTCGATTCATTCTTTTACATATCTTCTCATACCAAGAATTAACTCCTTTTATTTATCAACAATAAAGTACTAAAATTTAAGTTTAAAGACCAGGCTTACTAATACTCCTCTCTTGCATGTTCATATTACACTGCCCACCAGCACTTATGCCAAGAAAGTTATCAGCTTTCATCACTCCAAAACGATTCCAAATTCAAAATTAAGAAGCTAATATGTTTTGACAACTTCGGGTAAAAAGTCACGATCTTTAACCTCTAAAAAGATACTACTACTAGCTTACATCCAGAAAGTCAGAACCACAGTAATAATTGAGCAACCCACCAATATTTTGCTCTACAAAATCCATTATCCACCAAAAACAAGCTTCATTTCCCCCAAACTAGTAATATGCAATATCCCAGTTAACATGAATCCGAGATAAACTCAAGATGCACATTTTATGATGCATCGAGAAAATTAAGTCAATTTGAAGTAGGAACTCACAAGAAAATAGAGAGAATTGAGATGGAGACAGCTACATAGTCGCTGGGACAGCCACCCTCGAGGGCACAACTGGTCATCTTTCACGATGAGGTGGAGAATTACTTGGAGCTGCAGATGGCCATTAAACTGTTGGTGAAATTGCCTTACAGAAGTGGGTGTGCGATTTACGAAGACAAAGCACCGTAATTTCCAAGTGCATTGGAGCCCCCATTTCCACGTGCTTGGTGTTTGTTCGACCCTAAAGCAAGATGGGTACGATAAGTTTGCGTTAGTCTGCTGGTGTTTAAGCTTTATGAGTCAGAAATTATTCAACTACTTTTAAGTAAAAGTGGAAATCTTCCCGTCCATGGCAAATGAAGTAGAAAAATAAACATGCTGATGTTTTGGATTTAACGTTTACTAGCCTCTTCAAATGATTCATTAGTCAATCAGAGCCATCTGTTTTCTCGTTTTCAAGTGAAAAAAAAAAAAAAAATTGACCTGAATTAAATATGCATCGAGTTTGAATCTCATTAGATTCAACTTCGATATAGATTCGACCCTTCAATTACTTATATATATATATATATTTTTTTTGATATTATATATTCAAATATATTATTACTAAACACTAAATATATACAAATTACAAATTACAAAATACATTTGATATATTAGTTTGCAAGTGATTCCAATATATCTGCAGGCTTATGGCACTTCACAAGAGAGTGGAGGCAGCATTTTTACGTTGCAACCAAACAGCCTTTGCATTTTGCTGGTGCATGCAGCCCATTCAGATGACCCTGATATTGTCAAGTCAATTTAGAAAGAACCATCATGAAACACATCAAGATAAGGGATGAACTAAAGATAACGCTGAGAAGCAAGAATTAAGCAAGACTTTTTTAAGACTTGATTCCATCAAACATCGCATCCTGGAAATGCTCGACTACGTTATCAGAATAGTTCAATAACACCATATGACCTATGCAGCTGCAGTTTCTCCACAAACGGATCTGTCATTTTCATCACCCGTCAGACCATTGAAACTATCTTCCTTCAATAGGCTTATTTTTTCCAAGTTCCAGTAATGACCAGTCAAAGCAGATTTTTCCATAAAGCATTAAACATTTAATTGGATAATCATCCATATCATATTCATTACTCTAACTTCTAAATGTACCAAAGCAAATTTAAACCAGATAATAAGTACAAACTGACAAACTGGCGCATCCCGGCACCTTGTGCCAAATCTATTTTGATGACTTTGATGTGTATCGCCCCATGATGCCACCAACTAAATTGTTCATTGCATGAGAAGCCATTGGCACGATGATACTTGAGGACACAACTGTGGCATAACCGTAAGCAAGCCCGACAAACATTGCCCTGACAAGAGAACCAAATGTTATTCAAAAAAATCAACCAGAGTTCAACAGATAATGCATTAGGTAGTCCGTCAATGAGACACTGCAGGAGCATCATCAGAAGGACCAAAGACTTATTTTCGTCATTTGGCCACCATGACAAATGAACTTAAGACTAGATGGAAGAGACTTGCAACGAACAGCCAGGGTCTTCTGAAGGGAATAGAAAGCGTCTTTCAATTATTTGTTAAATTTACCAGACAGCAAAAGAATACTTCCGACCACTTCCCAAATGCAGTATCCCAAATAAAGCAGCAACCGCAAAGACACTCTTCCAGTCCATGCCAAAAAGGGGCAGTAATGCACCACGAAACAGAAGTTCCTGCTCTAGCAATAGAGGTATTGAAGATCATGATGTCATCCTTGAACAAAAGCAGAACTTCAAATCTTTGGTTCAAATCTACATATACAACTGTAGTATGCTATCCTCTTTTGTACCTCACTAATTCCTGGTAGAAATGCTACAACAATGTAGTCTGAAGGTTCTAGCGAGCTAAGGACCTGCAAATCAAATCAAGTCTGAATAAAGCCACATATAATGCAACAAACAAACTAGCATTGGCTCAGGATCATGGTTATTGAATGACGTACAAGATCAACTAGAAACTATAGAGGACTAATGCAGACACCTGCTGATTAGCCGCTCCACTAGACTCAGCAAAATCCAGCCAGATATTCAAAAGTAGGTACCTGCAAGATGATATTAGGATAACTAGTCCCACTATCAACTCAAGATGCCATGTCTCGAAGTTTACTGCAAAAAGTAGATCTGATATTAGCAAATTTCGTAAAAAATTGAATACAAAGAAAAGTTTTAAGCAAAAAAAAATCAGTAGAAGCACAATTGTGATTTTAATATTAACCTTAACCATGGACCCATCCCATCAACTCAACAAGAAGCAGCATTACAGAAAGTCCAAAAATCTAATTTACTCATCTGCACCACCCTCAAAATTTCAAACCATGATAAGCATTTAGATTGTAAAACTTTGTACCAACACGACATTATATCTTACCAAGACCTCACTTCTTTATGATTCATCAATGACAAAGTTTACAGTAATATCAACTTTGTAACAAAACAATATTATGTCTTCGACACACCTCACTTTTTTACATTCATTATTGTCCATAGTTGCTAAATCCAGGAACAGAAGGAAAAGAAGAAAAGGGGGACAAAATCCTGCATGTATTATTCATTTGTTCAAAAATTCTATGAAAATGGCAAGTAAGGGCACCTTGAAATTAGCAAAGATTTAACATCGAAGTGAAAGTTAGGACAGTGGAGTTTCATGGATCATTCTCGAGTGCTACAGGATATTCCAATGTTATGGACCCTACAGCGAAGTTGGAAAAGGTGGACAAACATTGATAATAACAAGAGATGTTTTCCTTCAAATGAACAATGGGTGGAAAGTATGAACAGTCACATGGTAATTAAGCAAGATAGCAGTCCTGCTTTTGTGCTAATTAATATAAAGCAGAGGAAAAAGATTGATCCTTCATCATACATGAAATTTCTGACGATGCATCAATGACAGGCCATCCCTTTGTGGATGCAAAATGAGAAACCTGCAAGTCCAATCATAACATTGGCACCTCACAAGGATAAAATGTATCAATTCAAACAGGTTGACAGCAGCAAACTAGGCAGCGTAAACGAGAAACAAAGAAAGAATGAAAAATAATAAAAGGAAGAAGAAACCACCCACCTTGTAGCAGATGTGTGGCAGAGTTGGTGCTCAGAAGAGATACAATATAATGTGGAACAATTGACTTGAAATGCAACTGAATGTCTTTGTTTGACATGCTACTAGGATTGCAACAAAATTTAAAGAAACAAAAAAGACATATACATTCTGAGCACCCATCCAAAGAATCTTTAATCAGCAGCATTACTTTTGATAACAACTTTTAGAGAAAGGAAAGGGATGTCTAGAACAAACGACGACTAGTTGTCCAATTTAATTACCCCCCCCCCCTCTCTCTCTTCTGGTGAAAGCTGGAAAAAGAACATTTACCTGCCTGATAACAACACCTAAAGTTCCAATTAAACAGGAAGTGATCGTGCATGCCCGAAGAACTGCACCTCTGGACGGAATTAGAAGTGTACTTTGCCCCTCTGAGTGGTTAAAGGAGGATGTGTTGCTATTTTCTTGAATGTAATTATCTGCGAGAGGTGGTGTATTTGATACTGCATCATTTTCTTCCAAGACAGCCTTATTTGATGGTGAAGTATCATACTTCTGTGATTTTTCCTTTTTCCTGGACTTCTTGACTGAATTCCGACTAGCAAAAACTCTTAAACCAACTCTAAATCCCTGCAAAATTTAAGACAGAGAAGAAGCTTGTTAACATACAGAACACATGGAACCGAAAGAGTTATTCATTTCAAGGATAAAAACAAAAAAATCGAATACCCACACTGAAAAATCGAGCAGGCGACATCTCCGCTGAATTACGAGGGCCAACAAATTCCATACCTGAAGCATGTATTTAGGCAATCAAACCCCACTGTAAATACGAGTAGAATACTACAAAGCATGATATGATGTTGGCAGGGGAACGAATCATGACAGGCACAAAAAAATAAAGCCAGCTTTTATGGATAGGAAGGTACAAATAAGCAGACATATTAGCTCAAAACATAGATATATTCCACGTCCCATGAATGTTTATCAGGATGAAGAAATAAGGAAATAAACAAACCCCAGAAAGAAAATTTGAGGGACTGCAGTCAGTGCTCGGTCGCTTCATCTACTAGGAAATGACAGAATACAGGTGAAATGAAAATTAGGGAACGTAGGAATCTAGAGCCACCTAGAGGTTGAAAGACGGATGCAGATAAATTGTATGGTCTTGACTTCCAACAACAGTTCAGAGTGACAACTTCCATCACTTCTGTAGCTTGAAATCAACGGCCGCCTCTTGCAATAAAACTCTTCCTCTTCTTATCTGTTAAGCAATTCAGTCTCAGCATTAAAAGGTTGCCTATAAATACACAAGAGTCTGCAGTTTTTACCAGTACTTTTTAGAGAAGCCATCATGAACGCTTACTATTATTCCTTCAACTTCTTCAGCACCAAAGCAGTTGAAAAGAGACTCTTGCTCGAGCTGAGAAATATGGTCCAACGTTGTTGCCGAAGAAAATTGTTTGAGGATTTTTAGTGGTGGACATTGTAAAACCCCATTGAAAGCTCTGGGCCCAACCCAAGGGTGAGACGGTTTATTATGGTTATCTGATTTTACCACAGGATTACACTACAATTTTGGTTTTACTATATGTAACAAATTATATATAATTCTGATTGAAATTAACCATATTTTGGTAAAATCACCCTATCACCATATTCTTTTTATTTTTTTTTTCTTTTTTCTTTGTCCCTTCGTGGGGTACGCTATCCATTTTCCACTTCCATAGAAATCACTCGGTCAAATCTGTTCTGCAATCTATTTCAAATTTTCCACTAAATTTCCCATTTGATCAAGACTCTCATATTCTACTCCAACCCGAAAACTAATATTTGATACCGAAGAAAACGCTTTCCGAGTACTAGCGATTTTGCTGGACTTGATTCAAGCCCTTAACTGGGAGGTTGGATTGGAACTGCTAACGCGAACATTTTGCTCCTCCACCTAAAATAAGTAGTTTTGGTTTTCATTCCTTAATCTTTTTTCGCCTTCCGTTGAATGAAAAGAGATCCAGAAAATATAAATTATGTATCTCTTGAAGGATTGCGTTTAAGTTGATGAGAATGTTACTTTGAATTTTGAGAAGTTTGGTAAAAACCATAGTTTGGTTAAATCACCCTATCACCATATTCTTTTTATTTTTTTTTTGATTTCTTTTTTCTTTGTCCCTTTGAATGAAATCTCTAGGCTGCTTAAGCAGCATATACTGCTGGCGTCTGTTTTTTTTTTTTTTTTTTTTTTATTGTCACCATCTATGCCTACGCCTACACCTACTCTTAACTTATACTTTTGAAATGATCAAGCAAGATTACGGCAAATCGACGGAAACTAAACCACCATTGGACCATACGGGCGCAAGGAGGCACCCATATACTGCTGCATCTGGCTGATTGCTCCTAAGTATAACCTAGAGGTGTCAAAATGGATGACTTGGGCGGGTTTGGGTTGGGTAAAATGGATAATGGGTATAAGTGAGTCAACTCATTTATACCCATTTAATTAAATGGGTATAAATGGATAAGTCAAAAAATGAATTGGGTAACCCAATTACCCATTTATAACTCATTTATTTTAACTTTTTGCAAACTCATTTAAATTCATTTTTGCAAACTAAGTTATCAATTTATACCACTCTTTGTACCCATCATTAGTTTTAAATATTTACTTATAATGTTCAATAAACTTAATTACCAATTTTTTTCATTTATACTCTATGTCACAAAATTACCTATTA